ATTCTATAGTAGGAGGCCTGGTCCTAGTCCTGTCTCTTATACACATCTAGATGTGTATAAGAGACAGGCAAAAGTCCATGTTAAAATCAAAATGTAATTGCAAAATGCAATTTATCAAAATGTAGGCGTGAATTTCACAAAATGTAGATCTAGTTTCCCAAAATGAAGTTCAAAGTTTTCAAAACACAGTACAAAGATCTTGTTGCAAACCCCATAGGCCTAGCCTATATTACCGAGCACTGGGCTTATGATCGCGCTCCCCTGACCATTAGAGACGCACTGGGAAGCGTTGTTCACGGCATTGAACTACAGCGAAAATTGATTCACCATCATTAATAGAACAGGCGAACGTCATGCTTGGTTGGCTGGTTTTGATTTACATTTCACATGTCTTCTTGTAAAATCTAATTCAAACCAGTCATGATTTACGTTTTGGAACAAAATTTGGAGAGGGCGTTTGATCAAGTCAGACCTACGTTTTGAATTTGAATTACATTTTAAGGAAATTAAAACTACATTTTGGAAAATTTTATTCTAAATTTAAATTACATTTTAAAGAATTTATAACTACATTTTCGAAAATTTTAACTACTTTTTGAAAATTTAGAACTTTGCATTTTGCAATTACATTTTGATTTTAACTTTTGCGGCGTATTGCACCCCATACAAAGAGGCCTATTATATCATTATGATTATTAGTGTTGCCACATTACAATGATACATACCCATCACAAAGGTGGCCTTGGTAAAGTTAGGAACACTAACGTTTATTGTAAATAATGTTTCGACTAATGCTTAACATTAACAGATGTTTTAAACCACAGTCCGTTAACAGAGTCGATTTTCGTCACATGGAAATGCTGTAATAATTCCAAATTGTAGGGTCTAATTGATTAAATTTTGATAATTTTAAATTAACGCCAATATAAGTGTGTTTCAGTACTTAAGTTACTTTCATATGATTTATATACAGTATATTTTTTTAGGAATTTCCAGGGAACGTCAATGATGTTGAGAAAGTTAATATCTTTATGGAACCTGTCATAACACAGTTCATAAGAATTCAACCTATGAGTTGGAAAAGTAGAGTCACCTTGCGTTTTCAGATAATCGTATGTCCAGGTAATGTTACTTGCCAAATATGTTCATCTTTGTTTTAATTTTTCTTTTGCTTATAGTACAGGGGCTTATGTAGCAAAATAGGCTCGAGATCGCAATTCATGTTAATTTATGGCAACAGTGTTTTTCCGACTTAGAATTTTATATTGAACAGGAAAACGTTGGTGCCAAATTTTTCGAGAAGGTTAACTGGCCACCATCTTGGAAAACAAGATGGCGGACGCATCTCGTCAAACATAGTACTATGTGGTATCATTAGAAAGGAAATCATGCACTGAATATTTTTTCCCATTACACTAATATGAGGAAATGCACAGAAACGGAGATATTTGCCATTAAACACGTCATTGTCTGCTGCCCTCTATTGGTAAAAAATTCATTTTTATTGTTGTTTCTAGGAAGTTGGCTGTTTTTCTTGGTTCTAATACAGATATTTTGTAGAGTCTTATGTTTGTAACTAATTTGATACATTGATAAACAAATTTCATTTGTATTCATGGGTATTTTTCTTCATTAAACAATGTAAATATCCATATTATCTGTTCATTACAGTGACATTTTCCTATCAATATTTCTTTAAGTGCATGTTAATACAGGCTGCAATATCCTGGTAATTTCCAGTCTCGGCAAAAACAAAATCGTTAAGCAGACTGCTTAATTATCAGAGCAATTGAAAATACCATATTTATTGGAATATATACCCAGGGACTTTCATTGTAAGAAGGGATTTGAGGGGACGTTTATTTGATTGAGGCGTTTATTATTATTATTTTTTTCTTTTTGTGCGCATTTGATGTGTATATAATCCAAATATATGCCCTTAAATTTCACTACAACACATAATTACTATCAAAATGAAAGGAAAAAATGTATTTCTACTGGAGTAGAAAATCAATAGAATCTGTTGACAATGATGTTGCTTTGTTTATACTTTGTCGGTACTTTCTTGATATTGACCATAGGTCTAAATAATAATTGTAGATTATGGATTCACCTACAGTGATAACAGGCACATTTCATTATAATTTTTATGATTACATTTCTTTGCTCTATCTATTTCTGTCTAATTTTTGGAACTAAACAAAATCAAAGGATGATGAAATGACAGCCTTCATCTATATTGGTACGACAGGCACAATTTCTCTGGAACAATATCGTTTGGCAAACCTAGCTGAAACAACTCACAGAATCTGAAAAAAATCTGCCTACAAAAAGCGGGCACCTTAGTAATACATAGGTTCCAAGTTGGAAAAAGTCATTTCCGGGAGGCAATTTTTTTTTTCGTGAAGAGCCAAGCATAGGGAGACATATAAAGCGCTCTGGTTGGCTAATGATAAGATGACATAATCGCACTTTTGTTTGACAGTCGCAGGGCATCTCGCACACTCGTCAGAGCAATGCGACACACGCCAACCAAACAATCCATGCAAATGCAACGCGCCGAGTAAGCCTGATCTTTATAACAGATTACAGTATTGGGAACAACATTTAGTAGGCTACCATAGTCACAGCTGATCTCTAATACCCACTGCTACCAATAGGCCTAGGAAATACTGTAGTAGGGCCTAGTATGAGTACAAACGAGGTCGTTTGCATAGTAGGGCCTAATAGTAGGCCTAGAGTTAGTAGGCCCTAGGGATCACAGACTTTTAGGCGAGAAATGTTATACTGTACCTTGTTTAGCGATTTCGAATAGTTAAATCACCTTCCCCAACGAAAAACAGAAATTTTAGAAAAACATAAAAGTGTTACATATTTTTATTATGGTTTTTACTCCCCTGAAATATCCACAAATTAGATAAATTTAAAGCATTTATCAAGCTCATTACGACACTGTTTCAATTCATATCAATGAAAATTTTATTTTCATTTTGTCCTTTACCTAAATGCTTTTGGCAAAATCAATTTGCTAAATAATTTTTCCCTCCCTCTGACGGCTTCTACAAAAATAAGTTCACTAAACAAGGCACAGTATTATTCGAAAAGTCTTTCCTTCACCTACCTGTCTATGTCTGTTAGTATTTACAACGACAGCAACAGTAATAATAATTATTATTAATAAAAGTTAGTGTATTTCACTACTTCAATTTATCCTTTCTTCCTCTGAATCTGAGCAGTATGAATATTATTTATTGATGGTGTCTATTTTATTAACCATATTATAACGTATATTGTTGGTATTTGTATCTGTATTTTTAATGTAAAGTCAACTTTCTTCACTACTGTACTATATTGCTCTCTCCTTGTGCATCTACACTCGAACAAAATTGCGCATCTAAAAAAATTGAAACAAGTAAATTATAAAATAGTCAATAATATTAAATCTGTTATGTTATTTTTATTTATTGTTTTTTTTTTTCTGGAATTATAAATAATAAAACCAGCTAATAAATGATATAATAAAGTGTGAGATTAACAGAAATAATTCACAGCTAATAAATTAAGGCAACCCTTAATTGTGTTTGTAAATATTAGCTAACAAATACAGTAATAAATATAATAGTACAGAACAGTGAGAAAAGCAGATGTGTGACCATTAGTACAATCACAAACTTTATCTATTTTAAAAATAGATAATGCAATATCTATTTTTCGGAAGTGGTACCATTTAAACTATTACTATTATTTGGAAAGAGTGTAATTTACATTTTTTGACTTAGAAGAATAAGTTTTTTTCAAGGTTTTGGTTTTCTGTACACACTAGGTTATGGGAGACCTTCTTTCTTTTTGCTTTCAAGAAGTACTCAGTGGAACATTTTTCAGTACAATGTTCTCTTTGCACAACCTTCCATTACCCAACTGTGTCTTTCCTAAATGTTCTAAACTTATGTTGACATTATAGACAACATCTGGCTTTTTACTTTGTACATTTACTCATGTATTTTGGTTAGGCATTCATCTGGAATTGGCTGTGTTGGAGGTAGTGATGAGATGGTTCTGTGCATTCTGCTATTAGCAATGTCTCAGTCAGCGTTCCATCCAGAAGCATACCAAATTGCCAGTCTGTGGTATCATTTCATGGACCTAAAAAAGCACCAAATTCAAGTATTTAATCGTGTTGTACTGTGAATCCATTTATTAAATCATGACATAACAACATCAGCAGTTTGCGGAAATTTTTTATCGAAAAAAAAAACCTGGGTTGCTACTTATTTGTTGGTTGGTTAATATTAAAAATATTACTTTATTTATTCAAACATCACATCTCAAACAATAATATAAGGTGGCCAAAGACCAAATTGCATGTTACTTGTGTTACATAATATTCATTAAAAAAGGATATGTAAAAAAGTACAAAATAGAAAAATAAAACAAAATGATAAAAAAATAAAATTACAACCAATAAATCGAGCAACTGATTAATAAAGAAAGGGGGCATCTCACATTGCCAAGTTTGCTGTTAGTCAAGTATAACATTATAATTTTAAAATTACGTAATAAAAAGTATTGGAGAGCTGTGGACAATAGGCCAGGATCTGAGCCCTAGTAGTAGTAAGTTTGGTAGTATGGTAGTATATTAATAATTATTATATTACAGTATTGAGGTGTAGAAATAAAAGAAAAATAGACTATTTGGGCCTTAAACAGGTTGCTCTGCTGTACTTCTTAGAGAAAGAAGGCGAACTTGTCATGCAAACTAGGCCTAGGCGTGTTGCATTGATCTTTCTTGCATCATGATTGATGATAATATGGGATATGGAGGGTAGGTCCATCTTCCAACTACGCCAAGGATAGGCCTTGCCTAGACTGGGCCTTGATAGAGTCATGATGATGTCATCTTGGCATTAGTAAGTCAGAGCGCTTTATATGTTTCCCTATGCTTGGCTCTTCACGAAAAAAAATCGCTTCCGGGAGATCTGCGGTGATGGGTCGAAGTTGCAGGAAGGGACTTTCATAGATGGAGGGTGTGAACCACATCAGCCTCACCATGGTTGGAGCTGAAAAAATAGTTATGATTAATGTGACACGTTTAGATGGCCGAAAAGGGCCCTCTCAGAAATAGATTTGAATATAATTTTCCTTTCTACCCCATTTTTTTTATATTTAGAAGGCCCGGCCGGCTTTCCTCCTCCCTGTACTGTACTACTAATCTGGTTAAAGATTTCTTAATACATTTCTTTATATTTTGCTACACATAGTGATACCAACCGGCACTGACTACCTTAAAAAATTGATAATAACGCTGTGAAAACATGCAAAATTATAAATTTGCGAAGATTCTTGCTTGTTTGCAGGAGTGCGGGAGACCGTCTTGATTTTCCGAGACTCTTGACTTGCGAGTTCCGAAAGACTTGGGACCCCTACAGTGTCAATATTTCTGTCGGGGTAACTTACAGTATTGATAATACTTTCTTGTTGCTTAAAACCACCTAGCATAGAGGAAACTGAGATGTGCTGGACACTAAGTTTTCATTAAATAGTCACTCCATTTTTATTATCATCTGAGGTCAAGGTGAGTCGAATGGCCGAGAGGTTAGCAGGGACGCCGCAAGCTATAGCCATAATATCGGCGCTGGTTCGAACGGCACGCTCGCCTATGGTTCTGGTGGTAGAACAAGTCTTCTCGGATAAGGACTATAAACCGTAGGCCCAGTGTATACATTGGTCGTGTTCCTAGTCCACATTTCAAGCGCCCTGAGCATCTTACATTAGATGGATATGTGCGCTATATAAAACTACACTATTATTATTATTATTATTATTACTAATTTCTAACAATTTCATATTAGGCCTACTATAGCTCTCAAAATTAGGCAATCTTGTTTGAGCTCACTTATTTTTTTTTCTTCACTGTCAATTATGTAATATTATTTTAACGTCGACTCAGAATGATGATGTTGGACAGGGAATTATTTACCTACTTTTAATTGTTTATGATAAGTGCCTATTATTATGTGAATAATCTGGCATTATTATAATTTAATGCGATTTGTTTCGAAATCCTCACAGGTAAACAAAGTGTTCAAAAAAAAAAAAAAAAAAACAACAATTATGGAAATTTCAGAAATAACCCTTAAAGCATTTCTGCTTGTTTCCGAAATAATAAGAAATAACGCTACAGTGACAAAATACAAAAAAATGGCCTTATCCGTAGCTCTCAGTATCAAAAACATTTCATGCCACCTTATGTTTTTTCTGCCAAACGATTTTGTTTAACCCTAAACTCAGAAGTACAGTACCAGGATGGTCTCCGGCGGGGATAGTTTCACCTATGAAAACTTGGATTGTAGATAACAGGCTATGGATTGGATTGGATTTATTCGGTGTAAACACCAAGGATAGCCCACGAATATCTAGAAGAAGACTTATTTCCAGTGGGGTCCTTCTGGTGGTGATTGAGCAGTACACCGGGAGACAATCCCCTACTCTTTTCCAAAGAGTGTACTGCGTTCTTTAACACTTTTTAAAAATGAAAATCGCTCCCAATCAAGCAATTTAATTTTATGTTCCTTATGTTTTCTGCTAAATGATTTTGTTTTTGGCCCCCCGGAAATTATAGTAGTCTCAGAAATACCGGCATGGTGTCTGAAGGGTAATAGTTTCATCATGTAGTAAGAATATGTAATTATTGTATCTCTATTATGCGGCTGTTGGGGTTTGATGTGCACTTAAAAAAATATATCAGGAAACTCTCAATCTCAATACAATAAAGGATATACACAACAAAAATGATGATTTTCAATTTTTTAATGAAAAAACTAATAAGCATGAATAAAAATGTTTTTGTTATCAGTGTATCAGTCCAGTTACAAACAAGAATCTACAAAGTATCGGTATTAGAACCTAGAAATCAGGTAAATTGGTACAAACAACTACAAAAATGAAATTTTCACCAATAGAGGGCAGCAGACAATGACATGTTTAATGGCGAATATCTCCTTTACTATTCATTTCTTTATATTAGTGTAATGGGAAAAAAATATTCAGTGCATTATTTCCTTTCCAATGATACCAAATGATATGTTTGACAAGATGTGTCCTTCATCTTGTTTTCCAAGATGGCTGCCAGTTAACCTTCTCGAAAAAATTGGCACCAACATTTTTCTTGTTCAGTATAAAATTCTGAGTCGGAAAAGCGTTGTTGCCATAAATTAACATGAATTGCGAACAAAAATACATAAGCCCCTGCACTATCAATGACACATGCTGTGAGTTGCCTGAAAAACTTATTTTATCCTAAAGGCCAAACTGATTGTAATGATTGATTAGGATAGTGTCAACAATTACGATGTTGAATTTAACCAATCTGTTTTCCAATTTTTCACTTTTACATATATTTCTTAGCCTGACACTTGTGGCTTATTCTTATTTGTGATCTTATATATTTAATAATTAGTCATCAATGTTCATTTCATGTAAATTTGTTCATTGCCTTCCTATATTTCTGTTAAATTATTGTAATAAATGTTGTGTACAACTTGTGAAGTTTAAATCATTAGAATTTATCTTTGTAAGATTGAAAAAAAATGTTTGGCGTTGCGAAATTTTAGTGTTGAATAAGATAACAATTCCTGTTGAAAATGCCAGACACTTTTCAATCTTGCACAGGTCTCCAAGCTGGGCTCAGTCAATGCGATTTACTTTGTTTACTTTTAACAGTTAGTACTAGCTAGCAATTGGCTGCAATTGAGTGTGAGAATTACATGCTAAACTTTCCTGACTATAAGTTTTTATTTAAATAATTTACTGTAGATAATGTAATTTTTATAACCATGATTATGTTTAAATAATGAAACTTTCATTTATTTATTTTTCAGGAAATATTTCTTTAGGTAAGTTAATTAGGCATGTTAATTTTTATAACAAATAATGGTTGTATCATTCTATTTTACTTACATTTTCTAGACAAAGAGGGGGGGGGGGGGGGGGGGGGGGGGGGGGGGGCTGGGTGGGCATTTGCCCACCCTGGACAGGCTTTGACCCCCCTGTCTTTCAAAGAACGAATAGGTCGTCTGACCAAAAGTTTAAAATAAATAATTATTTGCCTATCCAAATAATGCTATTTTGATTGCCAATCCCTAATATAGTGGACTAAAAGCACATTTAGGACCAAATTAAGCCATAAAAACTCTCCCCATGAACCCTAACAGGGATTTTTTTTTTCATTCCGAACAGTCGACCGAGGTTTCGTCGTCACCTTTGTTCAGACCTCTTGTCAACAAATTTCTGGCGCCATTGCTGCATGCGAATTTGCGTAACGTATTATATTTTGGTAAAATATCATGAATTATTTATAATAATCCTTATATAGCGTATTTTGCGCATGCGCTGTATTAAAATCTGTATCAGCCTCAGTGATCAGCTGTTTTGTGCATCGCGAGTGACCTAGTGTTCGATTTTGATAGAAAGATGCACTTTCCTGAGCCTTGTTGAATCAATGCAAGAATAAAACAAGTGATTGATAGTAGATTCTAAAGTCAAATACACTTTTAGTCTAAAAATACCAAATACTATTAAATTGTTGTTCATTTAATGTATGACATTAGGACTAGGAAGGGCTTTTACAATTAAAAAGGAAATGGATAATAGTTTCAATCTAATGATCTTGCAAATCATGGCTATTTGATCATGGCCGTTTCTTGCCCTCTAAATTTAAAATATTGGTTGCTTTAAATTTAAGTTTGCCCCTTAAAATTTATTTTATCTAAGAGAGATATATATATATATTCCATACTTGGTGCATTCTAATACATAATGTAACTTATTGTTTTTTTGTTTCGCTTTTTCAAACTAATCTGTATCTTTAATTTGTGATGTTTAGACGCATTCACGCATCTCTAAATGTGGCTACAGCTGTGTCGAACGATATACCTAAGCTGAATAAGGTGAAAGAAAATTAAATGTTTTGGTGAACTGAGCGGATAAAATTGATTAAAGGGGAAGTGCGGGGATGAAACGATTAATTTTTAATTTAAAATAGAGGGATGGGCGACCACAATGACGGTGACGGCACTGGGTTTTGGAGCGCGGTATTCGAAAACGAGGCTCGTGAAC